AGAGAGAGAGAGAGAGAGAGAGAGAGAGAGAGAGAGAGAGAGAGAGGAAAGAGAGAGTGAAAGAGGTGGAGACCTGACTTGTCACTCACATGTGTGCATAGGCCGAGGGGATCGCCAGTGGAAACAGGGTCACGGTCATGCCCAGGTCACTGATGGCCAAGTTAACCACAAAGAACTCTGCAGGCTTCAGGGAGGACTTTTTTCTATAGGCCACAAACAGCAGGATCCCATTTCCTAGCACCGACAGCACACCTGGGGACAGAGTGACAGGATTTATTAGGGTGTGAGCACATTCATACAGTTGCAAACTGAGGGAAGAGAAACAATTCACTCACCAAAGATGATGTAGATAGTCCCCATGAGGAAGTCATTGTCTTTGGATATGTTGGACACGAGCAGAAAGGTTTCTGAGGCATTTCCCATCTAGAGACAAAATGGAAAAACAGAGAAAAAGACAGGGTGTAAGAGAAGGGGAGAAGAATCTTTAAACTTGTATTTTCACCTTCAGGCAATTTACAAGGGAAAAACAACTTCCTTATACATTTATGTCTTCATACCTAACACCTTAGCACAAAATGACTTGTGGGTCAGCTACTGTTAAAATGCCCTGAAACCATTTTAGCTCCATTTCCCCCCTTTAATGCCCCACTTTAATATTTTTTTGAAGAGGAGGTCAAACCAGATTCATTCAGTCTCGCAAAGCTTCTTAATGGTTCATATTATTTGTACAACATATATGATTTCACATATATCTCTGACCACCACTTTAAAACTAGAAAAAAAAACACATTACATAGTACGGAGACATGTTTTTACATCATTGTGAGCATGAAGGTGTATTTTTTTCTCCCTTTTATCATTTGTCGGCTATTTCCTCCAATTTTCCGTAAGCGGTGTTTTAACAAACCATGAAGGACATTTACTACATCTCCACCTCCTCGTCCTTTTCTGTGTATAAATTCAATACAGACCTTCAAAATCTCCACTGACCAAACTTTGCAGTTTAGCGGCATATCATGCATTCACGCTGTATATTCTTCACATGCTCTGTGTGTATGTGTATCTGTATGTGTGTCATCACCACAGTATTAAAACATACAAATGGCAAATTATTTGAAAATTAAAATGTGGCCAGGGTGTTTTTCTGTGGCAAAGATGAACATGAAAAGGTATTCATACCTTTTCTATTTACTGAACGACTTCAACTGTACTGACAAATTAAAGGGTATCAAGTACAACAAAGGAAGGAGTCATGTTAAATGTTAAATTAAACAGTGGAGCTGCTCATACTTAAATCGCTGGAAATCCACATTCACTCAGGAGACTCATCTTCCAACACAACCAGAGGTAAGGAAATTATTTAAAGGTTATTTTATGCAGCCTTTCTATTACAATTTTATTGTGGCCCTGCAGCACATGATGTATGCAAATACAATCTTGCACAATTGTATTGACTTTGTATTTTATGTGCGCACAATACACAACAGAATCATCGACAGGCCTCTCAATACTTTGTTCATTAATTATAACCACCTATTACTTATAATCCAATTATATCAAACAGCTATTATTTTAGATATAATTAAATTATTAGTTATGTCTCCATTTGACTGAGTTATAATTTGTGCTTGGTGCAAGTCTACATGTCTCATCTTGTGATGTTACAGAATGTTTCCCCCCCTTTCTCTTTCACAAAAGTTCCCATAGATGTTAACAGTGGTTGAGGTCTGGTGACTGTGGAGAGAGCGGATTGGACGCAACGATGCTTTATTGAGCCCTGAGGGGAGCTTAAGATGTCACACCAGCAGACAAGAACACAAATAAGTTCCACAAAGGCATGAAGGATACAGATACAGTTCTACGCAAAGTAGAAGTGCACACAAGTAAGTACTGTAGTAATGAAAGTGTCAATATTGTGACGAAAGCCGACATAACTAACTGGTCAACAATGGTTTTATGAGTTAATTAGATAAAATGTATTAATTATGGTGGGTCAGTAAACAGACATATGTATGAGTACAATAATAACATTTTATATAATATGTGTATGTATATATGTGTGCATGTATGAAGTAGTTATTTTAACAATTACTTGTCCTCTGCCCAAGTTGACAAATATCCCAGCACCTTGTTTGAGCAGCCAAATGGTTTCCCACAGACGCTTGATGCAAAATTGTTGACCGGGGCGACATCCAAGCTGATATGACTCTTATTGGCACTTATGTCTGAGATCCATGAGAGCCATGCTTGAGGGTCCACATTGCACTTGCCATGCCCAGATCAATGCCAGTGGTTATCTGAGTGCTCAGGGCTATAACACTCAAACTGGGAGACTGACTCCAGAATATTCTAAGAAAAACATCCAAGAGCACAGGCTGATAGGAACAGATCAGATAATGTGCAGAACCATCAGGCTCTCAGGCCTCTGGTAGAGACCCGGAGCTTGAAGGGGGAAACACGAGACCGCAGAAAATTGTGCTTTCTTTTTTTAAAGTGACAGATGTTTGGATTTCTTGCCAAACACAAAACGAGACATTCAAGAGGCGGATTTGGATCTGGATTCAGATTGGATAAAAGGCAATTTAACCCTATCCCTTATCCACACTCCAGTTAATCTTCACACGATGAATGCCTCCTGTCTTTGACTCTTATTGCCCTTGTGAATGGAGATGAGCAGTGTGATAAAACCAAAGACCATCTGTACCCGCCTCGTAATGCAGGCAGCGTGTCCCGGGCCTCATAAATATAAACATACTTTTAAAAAAGCCTGTAAACTCCCTTCAAATTTCTGAACAATCATTTGGGAGATTCAGGCTTTTTAAGTGACCGTGACACATTGTTGTATTCCAGTGATCTTGTGTAAACTTAGAGGAACATCTGTCAAAAACAAATTGACCTGCCTGTCTGATTAGATTACCGCTCACTTCCCCTTCTCCCGTCTGCTCTCCTCTCAGCAGTGTCAGGAAAACAAGGGGCAAGAGTGGAATAACTGTCTGAGAGGATGAAGTCAAGAGAGAGACACTTAAAAAAAATGAGAGAGGCACAGGAGGGAGGGAGAGACAGGGTGAGAGGGAGGAATCCCTGCTCACCCCCCATCACTTTGAGAGGGAAAGAAAGTGCCATAAACAGTGAGTAAAAAAGTGATAAAGTGACTGTCAGACTGTAGCTGAATGGTGGAATTGGGGATAATCATTGTAGACGATGCCTGTGACAACTTAAGCCTTGCTGTAATACATCTCCGAAATGAGTCCACACACACACAGACATACATACTGTACAAACAGAGAGAGACAGGGAGTGTGAGGAAGGTGGAGGAGGCAGTCGTAATAGAACGAGAGGACAAGGGAGGACAAGTGCAGGATGAGAGAAATCCCATAACTGGAACTGTCAGAAGTTCAGGGACTGAAAGCTAAATAAGGGAGATTAGCTGTAACACAAATGGGACCATGGATCAATATTAGAATTCAGTGATACTGCAAACACCACTGTGCACACACATCCTTTAAAACCCTTGTTATATGTAATGTTGGCTTCAAATGATCTCAAACATCAAAATAATATCTTTCAAGCTTATAATTACTGCTTTAATGTTTTTTCCAAGGCTTCCATCCAAATTAATGTGTTTTCGATAAAATCTCCATCCTCACAAGCCTTTTAACTCCACATCAGTAATAATCTCAATCCATAATAACACACCTGAATATGCATATCAAATGACCATTCACGCCCCAGTTGGCATCTTACTACCAGAAAATACTGCGAAAAGAAAAAGTTTCAAACAGATTTCTTATCTTGGTCCTCTAAGTGGAACTGTTACTGAAAGTAAATGTTGCATTTATCGCTGGTAGTCCAGTCGTGAATCATGCAGGAAGTGAATGCGGGATACTGCATCGTGGAGCCAAATTGGTTTCCAAACTTGTCAGTTATCTGCACTAAACTTAAACGTCTGGATGATAAAACCACTGTATTGATGCTGAAGATCGATGTAGGCCTACTTTTTCCTCCACTCAGTATGGTGCAGTTCAGTTGGCTGAGTTTGTAGATATGTTTCAAACATAACTTTCCTCTTTATGTCTATGACAAACATCTCCTGCCACAACCAGTCACCAGGAGGCCAGGTATACAGTTATTTGCTGCCAAGTTTGTTGTTTTCACCCTATATTTCTATATATTTGTACACCTGTATATAAATATATCTTGGAAAGAGGAGCATCTTACAATTTCATTGTACCTGAGGATGATGACAATAAAGACCTCTTGAATCTTGGCTTCAGGACACAACCTGGTTCCAAACCAGCGTGATGAGAGAGCTGGAGTTTCATTGTACTGACATGAGTCAGATTAAGAATCTCATTTAGGATTTATCTCTTATCTAACGCTATTCTTCAGTGATGTATGCCAAAACAGTGTAAGTAATTAAATGTTGTAATGTCCCTTGATCATCCAATTAATTTCCACAAGGCATCACTTTTTAGCCCCAGACATAAAGGCATTATTCATTCTAATTATTGTGTATGTCTCTCTCCTTTTATACTATGCTGTTACCCATCAGGAACATCATTAACTGAGTCTGTTACATACACATTGACAGGAGAGAAAATAATTGAGGCAAATGCTTTTTTTTTTCAGTGAACTAAAAAGATTAAAGAAACAATCATTAAGGGAGCATCTTAAGTAGCTGTGCAGAAATACAGTGGGAGCTGATAATTATAAATGAGCAGGGTTACCTTAAAACTGTACAGAACTGACAGGCAGCCTCAGTGTCATGGCTGTCTTGATGCGATGCCAAGTACCACTACCAGAGTCTTTTTGAACTACTGAGCGAGAGCTAACCTGGGAGCATGAGTCTAACATGGATAATGGGCAGATTGTAAACCTTTTTCTCAGAGATTCCAGAGCCAAGCAATATCCAGATGGGAAGGAGGTGAAAGAGCCAAGTGAGAGAGACGTAAGAGGGGCTGATGGGCTTGAGTATAGTTAGCTTCTCATGTTCTCCTCATGCATTTAAGATGTCCATATCAATGTTTTTGTAATAGATAAAGAAAGTTCATCTCTCTTGAAAGAACAGTAAACTACAAATGGTTGTGATAAATTTGCTGTGTCTTTATTTTGGCATTTAGTGTGTTGCTTCATAAATCACATGAAAATCTAAATTTATATTTACTCATACGTCAGTTTTATATATTTACCATATAATACATATGTAAACATTGCTTTCTCTGGTGACGAAAAAACAAAAGCCCCTAGTTTCCTCTGTTGTGGAGGTCATGTTTTTGTCTATGTTTGTTTATCTGTCAGTGATTTGGTTGAAGGATGCAGTAGCAGTCAGGAAATATTTTGGTGCAGATCCAAATCAGGGGGATGATCCAGGAATAATGTTTTATTTTCTTTAACTCTACAAAATAGGGTGTTTTCCAACATTT